GGGGGGGGGGAAAAAAAAAAAAAAAGGGGGGGGGGGGGGGGGGCTTGTGTGTAATGAAAAATCTAGTATTTAATTCTTTTTTGTGAACATGATTACAGTTTGAAAATTTCGTTTAGCATACTAACTTATTGGTGGCTAAAAATCTGGCATAGGGTGAAAAGAAAAATACAAACAAATGGGGGCTGTGTCACTTTGGTTGGGGGGTGGTTAAAGACTCTTTAGAAGTAAAATAAAAAGAAAAGATGCGACTTATAATTCAGAATTAGTTAACTATAACTGCCTGGATTTAATTATTAAAGAATACACGTAAGTTTACATGATACAAAATTTTTAAAATACGAAATGCGTTAAGAAATAATATACGCACCTGAACTGCACTTTTACCTACATCTTTACTAAAAAGATTCACATAAATCATCTCAATTTGGGGCGGGGGGAGGGGGTGGCGAAAAAAAGAATTCAAGCACGCACACACACACAACACTCACTGTATGGCAGGGCCGGCTCAAGTTGGGTACGATGACCGATGAGTGATCATCACACAGGCGCCAGATCCACCGAAGGTGTCAAAATTTGTTAAAATTTAAAAAAAAAAAAAATTCTTAACTCTTCCCATAATTTTCCATAGGGCGACAATGGCCTATTTTCAACCAAGCTTAAAATGTCTAGCGCCGGCCCTGCTGTATTGAATTTAGGTTAGGCCAGGTGTCTCAAACTCAAATTATCCGCAACCGCAGGAGACTGGGCCGCATCAAGTATTCCACAAAACAGCGATTAAAAATTCAATGAAATAAAACTGCTACCATCTGCAGCTCAACCTTTATAAAAGACGAAAGAAAAAAACTGCAATCCTCCGAAGTCCGGTCCCAAATTATTTCCAATGATTACTCCTTACTTAAAAAGTCTTGGGCATCATTCTGTTTTGAAATTCATGTTTGCGTTAGTGGACGATGTTAGATGGAGGTTGTCGGCCGTCCAGATGCACAAACGCTCGAGCGCAATATCACTAATCATGAGTTGCCAGGGACAACTACCGTCAAGGACGCTTGGCGAGGATATCAAAATGTCGGTCAGCTCAACAACGGGATTGATGCTCACGTTGCCATTGTGCACGCGCGTGAATTTGTTGACCCAGTAGACAGTAGACCAGGACATTGACACAGAAACTATTGAAGGACTTTGCATGCAAGCGGAACGTAAACTCCGCTATCAGAGTGGTTCTAGTCGCTATCAGAGTGGGTCTACTCGCGGTCAGTTTGCCAGCTACTTGGGAGCCTTTCAGTGGCGCAACAATCACAAGCAGTACGTTTTCGGCTGCTACTTGCAAATGCTATGCGCCAATTACAATATTTAGTATTTACAGACTGGTTTGTGAAGTGACAGCTATTTGCAAAAGCTATGACTGACATTTCTGCTGTTTTCTAGCAATAGACACTGTGCATTGCAATTTTTTTCATACGAAATAATTTGGGATCGGACTTCGTAGGATTGCCGAAAAAACATTAAGGGTTCTCAAGAACTAGGCTTCACTTTCTTCCTCCTACTCATTGTTGCCAGAAAACTGGCAGTGCATCTTCTTACACACCTGCACAGCTTTGGCTTGAGTTAGACCCTCGCTCATCAGTGAGTTTGGCCCCTGAACTTTGATTTGTTGAGGTTCATAGTGGGAAAAGAGCTCTTCAAACAGATAGGTACTCCCCAAAAAGGGTAGCATCAGTTTAAACAACCTGGAAATCTCAAATACAAAAAGTGTTGGACTGCGATAAAGCTTTAAAATAGATTAATTAGACACGAACAATTTGTGTCAATATGACACTTTACTTTTGTTTCTGTCTGGTTTTTTTCGCCCACTCCTATTTTTCTCCCCTTTTTTAAGTATGATATATATATATATAGTCTATATATATATTTAATAATTCAATGCAGCCAAACTACAGCGACAATACAGCGCCATTCAACCAAAATTAGACTTTGTCCTCCGTTGGAAGACCCATTCCCAACGTCCTCAACAACTTCACACAAAAAACAATCCTGTTCACTCCTAGTACCTAGGGTCCATTGGAAGCCGGGGCAACATGCGCCGTTAAGAAAGGCAAGTGGCGCTAAAAAATGCGGGGTATTTCAGTACCGTACCGGTAGTGTTAGCTATACTGGCCTTAGCAGTACTACATTATTTCAGCCATTTGAAGGACTAAATATAAGTAATATGGTGCTTTTCTAATTATCTTATATATACTTACGTAGATCATGGTCCATTTTAATTTCAAAGAATTTGATACAGCTGGGAATAGTGTTGAATTTTTAAAAAAAACTTTTTAAGTGCTCCCAAAATCTAATATGATTTATTTTTTAAATTAATAATTATAGAAAGGCAAGGCTGGTGTGAATAACTTTTCTGAGCGTCGCGGCCCTTCATCAACAAACACATTTATGACGACCGATACTCATTTGACTTCCCTGTTGTCCAGGTGTTGGTTTAGTCATGCATACTTTTAAGATTAACATTTTATTTAGAGCACCAAAACAAAAACAAATCGGAAAAACCCACTAAAAGTTGCTAATCCAGCAACACCCCCCCCCCCCCCCAATCAATATCCAGACCATCCAATAATTTTATAATTGAAATCCGTAGCAAGGGAGAAGGGGGACGGCGGGTGGGTGAGCTTCCTCCTTCAATAGTAATTGCAAAAGTAGAGCCTTTACAAGAATCAACTTTGTATCAATATTACAGCAAACTAGGGCTTAACCGGGTACAGACAGTCCTACACCCCAACCACCGGCCTTTAAACAATCAGTCCTACAGGCAGAATTGGTCACAATCGTTTGAAGATTCCTATTCCGATAAATGAAACATCAACCTATAGTGTTCGACGAGGGACTACTACTACTACTACTACTACTACGGCAAATGAATTGAACGATGGCAAAAGTGGTGATCTGAGATGAAGTTTTCAATGGGCCCCCAGCAGAGGAAGTAAATGCCGTTGAAACACCGTGTAGATAATGTTTGAAGGTGAAGATCCAATGTTCCTTCGAAGAAAAATAGTTAGAGGTGCCGCCTTCCTTTTCGGTGGAGATTTTAGACAAATTATCCCTGGTGTTCCACATCGCAGTCGAATTCAAATGCTTGCTTCATGCATGGATAATGAATAGCGAGCTTTGGAAAAATATTCAGGTCCTAAAGATAGACCCAAACAAGCGTGTCATGTCGCATCAAATACCGAGTTGTTTTTTTCCGGTGGCTTTTAAAACTTGGGAAT